ATTTAATAAAAAATTAAATCCCAACCTTTTATTACAAACAAAATCGCTAATTAATATTAAAAAATAAATAAATAATATAAACAAACGAAAAAATTAAAATTAAAGCGACTTACCGCTATAGTCACTAATCGCTAATTCCACAATTTCCAACCGATCCTGAAATATAGAAATTTAAAAATTAATAATTCTAATTTACACACATTTTGACACTTCCCCCTTTCATTTCGCCCTACCACCTCACCACTCCACTGCCTCCCACTTATCCCACCGCCTCCACTGCCCCCCACTGCTCCAATTCCCCCCACCTCACTACTCACTTAATTAGACACGAACCCTAAAATAAATTAAAAATATATAAACAAACAGCAAAAAAAGAGAAAATAAAACAAATATTTTAAAAAAAAAAATATTAAAAAAAAAAAAATATTTACTTACCGCAGCCGAAGTTGGTAAACTTGCTTTCTTCGGTTCTAGAAAGATGACAGATCCGATCCGAATCCATGCGGAACACTACATATTTTCCATCACTATAATAATAATATCCTTCATCCATCATCATGCATGTCATCATCTTCATAATAATCACCTTCATCATGCCATACACCACCCTCACCATCGTCCCTAAGGAACGATAAAATCATCGTTCTTTAGGTACGATAAAACTATCGTTCCTTAGGTACGATAATACCATTGTCCCTAAGGAACGATAAAACCATCATTCCTACCTAAGGAACGATAAAACTATCGTTCCTTAGGTACGGGGATTCGCTTGAAGAATTAGAGACATGGGTTGAGAAGCTTACCTGAGTATTTTTAGGCAAATTTTTTCCGGGACATAATGTCTCGGAAATTTCAGTCACATAATCCGTTACCGGATGCAACTTTTCCGATGATATTTCATAATCTATGACCTCTTGAATTTGCTACGAAAATCTGGATCAATAGCCCCTTCACATATAGACCGTTATTTGCGAAAAAGTTCGAGAAACAAAAAGGAAAGTCCGATTAGCGAAATTAAAGAGTTCACATCGAATAATAACTAACTACTTACCACACACAAAATCCAAAAACCGAATACTTGAATAATCACGTATGTTTGCGTAATGAAAATCCGGTTAATCGCGTTCCTATAAAAACAGTAAGATTAGTATGAAATTGAAATAAACTCCGTACTTTGGTTAGATTATCCACAAACAATTTCAACTAAAAGGCAGAACAATCAACGAATTAACTATCCTACCACATGCAAAAAAGTGACACGGTGAAAAAAAGTAATGTAAACGCAAAATATGCAAAATGAAAAATCTTTATTGCAACATAATTCTACTGCTAAAAGAAAGAATAAACTACACTATATGATGTTATTATTCATTAATTTATTAGAATAAATTTAGAATAATTTGAATGTAAAGAAAAAAAGCAAAAAGAAAATTATTACGGGGACGTGATACTGATTCTATTAGTATAATGAACGTCAAGGAAATTGGAATAAGAGCTATGGACTGAAAAATGCCAATGCTCTAAACCATTTATCACGTAAGTGGCGCAAAACAATATAGTAACCATTAGGTAGAACAAGAGCATAAATATCATGTCCTTTTGGGAAAATATCATAAACATTGACCGCAGGATTTAATTTTGTCATTCCTGCCTCATATTTCCTAACCCTCCCTCTACGTTTACACCAATAACACCATGTAAAAAGCCTAAAGCACTCAGGTCGTTAATCATTTTTCTTGTGTATTATGATTGAACTGGAAATTGGATGGGATCCAACACCTTTACTACGATATTGACGATGGTTACGTTCGGTGGTTGTGGATTCTTTGGTGGAATTTTTAGAATCGCTTTCTTTCCCGGATGTATAATTTCTCTTCCTGGAACTTGTGTGTGAAGTGTCTCCATGTATCTGTTTTCTCCTTTCGTTAATGTCAAATTGTCCGGTTCCTTAAAAAATTAACAAGTTCGTCAAACATATACATGAGGTAGAATATAAATCAGTAGATTTACCAGTAGATCCCAAGTTAATAAGTTCATCTTTATTATCTTTATTCAAAAACAGTAAGATTTCTTCGTGCTCTTCGTACGGTCGTCTTTCTGCATCCCACTTGGCTACTTCGGTCCAATTAATAGAGGCTCTCGACTCCTCTATCAATTTTTTCAATTCTTCGTCTGACTCTTTAGAAAGGCTCCAATTTTTTTTTATCGTCTGACTCTTTAGACCACTTAGAAGACTCCAAATTTTTTTTATCTTTATTCAAAAACAGTAAGATTTCTTCGTGTTCTTCGTACGGTCGTCCTTCTGCATCCCACTTGGCTACTTCGGCCCAATTAATAGAGGCTCTCGACTCCTCTATCAATCTTCTCAATTCTTCGTCTGACTCTTCAGACCACTTAAAAGGCTCCAATTTTTTTTCTTCTGGTTTGTTAGACATTGTGACGAGGTTCATGATTAATACAGTGTGGATAGTTTTTGTGACTTTTATTACTTTACGTTACACAAATGAACAACTTACTCCAAATGTATGACTAATGGCGATTAGGATTTCAATAAATTTTTCTGATAAATTTTCTGAAAGAATACCCATTATATATATCTTCTATGACGTAAGATCATAATGATTAATTGATTTTTATATACTTTTTTGATACACCATTAGATTTTACAGCAACACAATTATGTAGTGAAAATTTTTCATTAATAAAAAGCGCTATTTTCTGATCCGCGAAAACCACGCGACTGTGGCACAGTAAAGCGAACTGCGTGATTCGAAAAAAATAAACTTATAAGATAATCCAGTACTAAAGTATACGATATTAAGGTCATATTCGGTGTGCGGGTTCATCTCATCCCCCTAGGCGGTTACCGGAGATAATAGGACTCATCATTGGTGAGACCTTCCTTTCGTATCTCCCGTCACGATAATAATAATCTCTATCATATTTACCGTATTCATTATACCTATTATAGGAATCATCATCCGATTTATCTGGTATTTATGATTTAGTTTATTTAATGTCATCAAAACACAGAATCTTAAAGTCTACCTTCAAAAAGTCAAAGCATATTCAGGCGACCTGTTTAATGATAAAGTCGACCAATTAGTCAAGAATTGTTATAACACATCTGTTCTTATGTTTAACCTCTCTTATATAGATCAGTACTATTATAAATATAAAGAGATGACTATTTTGATCCCTATCTGTTTTTTCGTCAAAAACATTATGCAATCGATTGTATATAATAACTTTCAACATCTTCACATCATTAATAAATATTAGCAATTCTATATTAATTAGTTTACATTACCTTTTATATAAATGATAATATAGCCAATGCTCATATTTCCTATAAAGCTTTAGCTATTAGAAAGAAAAAAGTTCAAAGGCTGCTAGAAATGCTCACCATCATGAAAATCTTAAAGTTAGACATTCAGATATCTTTAACTTATCATAACTCTGCATTAAATGTGAATATGCAAAAGAAACTTTCTCACACATTTGGAAATATCTGATGATATAAACTAAAATGCAAATGATTATTAAAATTCTTAACAATTTCTTTTTGAGTTAATTAAGGATAATAGCTCAGCTACTAATCTTTATAGTTTGTTAATATAGTACATATCAACTTAGAACTCTTCATACTTAATGGCTTTAATTAAAGGTATTATTCATCAATTCTTATTTAATTTTGTAAAAGATGGTATGAGTTCAAAAGAACTTATCTTAGTAATTTTATCAATATTTATGCATTATATCTTTAAACAAACACAATCAATTTGGATTTACAGATGCTCTCAACAGATCATTTTTGAAAAATTTAACAATATAGACCTTAAAACAAAAATAGATAATACTTTATCAACAGAATATGTTCTATCATATTTTTCCCTTAATTTTATTATCAATAGTTTTATTGACAAAATGATCTGTTATAGATTCCACTAGACGAATTTTTAGTGTTATAATAATCAAGCCTTTTCTCATTTAGTTCATTATTAGAAAGTGATATTTTTAGCTTAGATTAGAAATAGATTTTGAAAAAGTCCAGAGTTGGTCTTAATTTAGTCTAGATTAAATAGAGAATTTTGTATTTTCTTAAATTTGTATTTTATTTACTTTGTTTATATGTATTTTGAAATTATGCAAAACTACTGTACTTAAAAAAAATTATATTTTTTATTATAAAAAAACTCTTTTCACAAAATGAGATAACCTAAGAAAGAGCAACAAAGAACTAATAAAAACAATTGTTTCACTTACGTTCAGACATTCCTAAGTAATAACCAAATAAAAACAGAATACACTTTGCAAACTGTTAAACCTGAAAGTAGTGTCTCTACCTCTAATAATAACGAAACTTTAGTCATTATGGATATTGACTCTCTTCTGCTTGATAAAAAAAGGGTAAAAAAATTTTAACAGTCTTAGTTGTCAACTCTGACTATACTATTATAAATATTGATAAAGTTAATAATACATCTAAAAATTTCTTAAATAATAAAAAAAACCCTTAAGAAAGTTTTACCAAAAAAAAATGAATTTTTTTCATATATTTTTCCTCTAAATTGAAGAAATTTTTTTAGTGTATATATATTTTATTTTAAAAATAAAACTATTATTAACTTATTTTTTGTAGAATTAATTTAGAATTTGTAACTTAGATTGAAAGTAAGTACTAATAAAATAATTTTATTTTTTTTTATTTTCTAATAAATTATTTATCTTATAAACTGATCTGAAACCTTAAAATTGAATTTTTAGATCGAAACTAACCTAATAATAATTTTCTAATATATATTTTTTATTTAAAAATTTTCATAATACTAATACTTGATATTTAACTTCATCTTTTTTAATTAATGATTTTATAAATATATTTAATATGTATTAAGTATAACAGAAATAATTTAACTTTGTATTTTAAAATTTTGTTAAAATTTAATTCTGAATAAAAAATAACTAAAAATATTATTCATATATTTTTTTCACATTAATATATAATTGACTTATTTAATAAAAAATAAAATAATATAAATACTAATTAAAATAAATGTTATTAATTTTAGCTACATTTTTTTTTTATAATAATATTAAAATTCTGGCATCAGAAAATAATCTTTTTGATAGTGTAGATATAATAATCTAAGATTTTAATTCTAGATTGATTACAAAGGTAAGTTAACATTAGTTTGTTTTTCAAAAATTAAAAAAATACTAACTTTAAACATACCTTTAACTTAATGTTACAAGGATCCAAATTGGTCTACAAAGATTTTTTTAATTTAACCTGAAGTAAAATTAGATTATCTGAAATAATTTGAATTAATCTGAATCTATTCAGAATTCTAGTTATAAGATTATTATTGTTTTATTTAATTAATAAATTTTTAAGATTATATTCAGATCTTATACAAAATCTTGTCATAAAAATTGATTTATACTTAGGTCTTAAGCTAGACAAAAAATTTTATACCTAATATAATACTTAGATACTTTAAAGTGAAGGTATAAATAAATGGGAGTATATTATATAATGCTAGACAATATATTATTATTCTTCTATATTTAAGAATTTGAACTGTTTATTATACTGTAAACACTTTCACTTTCACTTAATTGATTGTATTAATTTGTTAAGTTAATAAGAAAGAGATGAGTTAGAAATATTATTAAGATAAGAATATAATTAAACACAAAAGTTTTCTGATTGAATTAAAAGAAGTTATTCTCACTAAAAATTATTAATTAAATATTTAGATTTTATATCTAATTGTATTTTTTTTTAATTTAAAACTAATCACACAATTATAAATAATAGTTCTATATAATAAATTTTTCTTGCATAATTTATAATATATATGGATGTCATAATTTCTGTATTACAAAAATAAGTGTACTAAAATAGTTGTAAAAATAGTAGTTCTAAATAAACATTTACTGTTACCTTTAACCTTTTTTTGAATCACTAATAAATTAATAACCTCTTTATGCTTATTTTCATTAGCTCCTTTCAGAGAATTTTTTCATTTTTGCACCTGCATCTTTAGATCTCATATTATAATTTCTTGTTTATTTTTTATATAATATTGTATACATAACATATATAAGTTAAAAATTTCAATTAGTGGCAGTCACATTGTTCTTATAATAAAATGTACTCATTGATTATAAAATATATTATACACAAAATATATGAATTATGATCATAATACAAACCCAATATAAGCAAACAATAAAATGCTTTATTAATAGTGATTATAAAAGAAAAATATATCACAACCTAAGGATTTGATGCAGGTATTAATATATTAACTTTTATTAGAAACAAAGGATTAGGATACTAATTTCTAAAAAATATTATTATAAATCATATTGTTTTATAAAATAATATAACTAGCATATAATTATTCTAGCTAATCTAATATATTCTTTTCATTATCAGATTGTAGAGGTAAAAATTTTTGATTATCCAATCCATTAAAGGTCAGCTGGTTAAAAAATGGTGTTAATTTATTTTGCTTTATATTTAAATATTTCTTCTTCATTCATAGTATCAAAAAAATCTTCTATCATAACTACATCAGAACTTACGTTAGAAGTTGTAATAACATGTCTAAGCTTCTGTCTTTTTGGTAATATTTCTTCGTCAGAGAAGCTTGATATTATATCTATTTCTTGTATCACTTGTATGAGTCTAGATGATGATTGATTCGTTAATTCAGTCGTATCCATTTTAGCACTTTTTTGTGTCACTGATGTAGATCTAGATAATGCTTGATCTGCTAATTTTATTAATTCGTTATTTGCCATATTAAAATTGTATTATATCAATATAGCAGAATTAGCTCTAGAAAGAGTAAACCTCATGATAACTTTTCCTTTAATCCAAAAAAAATGCCAGTCATCTATCAGATTGGTTAACACAGCTAACACTAGATGTTTTGATTTTAAATTTGCAAAAATTAGTTCTGCTATGGTTTGAAATGTATGTTTCTTATTGATAGCCTTCTTTAACTCAAAAATGATTCAGATATGTTTCTCTTATACTTGGGAAGTGATGGAATGCCTGTCTACTATAACCAAGTTTGTTGTTTTAAAAAGTCTTATTGGTAAGATATCAGTATTTGTACTAAGAAATTATCATCATCAGATGGATCATAGAGTCTGAGTTTTTGAAATGAGGCAAGTTTGAGTATATTTGCGAAATGAGGCTTGTACCTATCATTTTGTGATTTTTCTATAGCATCTGTCTATCTGAAAGCATCAACCCTCTCATTTTTCAAATCTAAATTAAGGTTTGGAAATTCTATTTCAGATGTTGTTACTTGGTAATCAAGATCAATATAGTCTCGAATCTTCATCCAAATTCTTTTAGTTATGGCTTATATTTGTATTGAAGATTTTTCTCTCTTCATATCTTCAACATTCTTAACAATCTTGTCAAGTCTAGCAATAATTACATTAACTCTCCCAGCTGAGATGTAAATGATTAAAAAGACAAAAAAATGTTAATTATGGTTATTATTCGATTTATTGCAGATTTATTCTTCAACTTGGCGCTCAACTACTTACTAGCAGTAATAGGAACAGCAAGTATAATGACAATGAGGTGAATATGATCGGCAAAAGGTGGTGCTGTAAATATTGTTTCACAATTTTTTGTAGGAATCAACACTTGTCTACCTAAATCATTCACAATGTTGACATTTTGATTGCTGAGAGCGGTTCGTTAGGTATTTTGCGTGTTAGGATTGATATTAATTTTATATAAAGTGAGATCCTTTACATTTACATCAGGAATCCCAATTTTTTGTTCTATAATTTCTCTAATCTCGCCTATGGTATGGTTATTATTATATCTAACCGGAAAAGCAGAAGTTTCAGGTTTACCGAGAACTAGACAGTAAAATGGAGCCTTTTTGGGTAGCATGGTGACATTCAAGATTTTTTTTATAAAAGAAGCTTATGAGATTATGAGAATACCAGTCATGGAAATCTCGATTTAGGTGATAAACAGCATATAATTAAATTTCGCAAATATGTTCTCTAAAAGCTATTTCCTTCTCTAAAGTCAATAACATTCAATGATATCTGATGTTTCAGAGAGTTTTATATGAAGTATTTCTTTAATTAAAGTAATAGATCGATAACCTTTGTAAATTTAAACTGAAATTTCAAAAGTTATTCTAAAAAGAGTATTTAATTTTAAACCATTAAAATTTCTTTTAAAGATCTTTATTAATTCGTGATATGTGTTAACTGCATAAAATTCATAGTTAATTTTGATGCAAATTTTACTATATCAAACGCAGGTCCTTTTTCAGCCAAAGGCTTCAAAAGATGTAGGCTAACTCAGTTTGAAGTCATAAAAAATATACTAAAATTGAGAGTGATTTTGAAATTAGATATTAGATAAAATGCTTACTGCATCAATTAATATCATATTAACCCATTCAATTTGCTCTAAGAAATCAATAGGTTGCCGAATCTGTTCGAGTTGCTTTATCAGAAAAACTACTATCCTCTATCTGCATTTCAGTATCCATACTATAAAGATTGGAACTGGTTCTATTTCCGAAAACTGGTTTTAAATATTTTCAAAAAATTCGACCTGGTTTAAACTGGTTGCAATCAATAACTGGGTCAATTCGAGTGCTCGGCCCAAATTGAAACCAGTTCCAAGAACCGGTTTAAATCAATTCAATTTTAAATTTTTTACGATGTTAGAATTATATTCGACTTATTTATAAAGTTTTTTATTAATGTAAAATATCATTTTCTATTACATTTTAATTATTCTAATGGAAGAAATATATCAAAATGAACACTATTTCTTTTCAAGAATAGCATCTTATTCACTAAATCTGGAGAAAGTCAAGTTCGTTTAGCAGTAATGTGATTACCTGTTTCTGAGAATAATTGTTTGCTAGAAACTGATGTTGCAGGAATTAATAGATACTTTTGTGCAATTTTGCCAAAATCAGAAAATTATTCTTGCTAACTGCCCACCATTTTAATGGATCATCATTTAGTCCAATTTTTCTTTGTTACAAATACAAATTTATCTCATTATCCTCCTCCTCTTCTAATGGCATATCACCTTCTAATGCTTTAAAAATATCACTATCGTCTAATAATGATGGATTGCTAAATAAATTTTCATTATTTTTAGGCGAAAGATCCTGTTTTATATTATTATAACTCTCAAACTAATATTTTAGCTTCAAGTTTACCATCTCCTTTACACCATTCAAAAGTTTTAAAACGTGGATCTAAAAGTGTTGCTACAAGTATAATATCAGATAAAATTGTTCAAAGTTCATCTAAAGATAAAAAATGGCTACACAAACTTTTTGAAGCAAATTACTAGTATCTACTGGAGATAAATATTCTATAGTATTTATATCATCTAAACTAACTTCATTTGAATTAAATGTTGAACTTCGATTTTTTCTTTTACTAATTTGCCTATAAACTTGTCCACTTTTATTTTTCTTATTTACCATTCGTTGATAAAAGTGACGATATACATATTGCCAATGCTGTCTTGATCCACCTAATGGAATATATTCATCATCACTAACTATATTATTATCTTCTTCTTCATTACTAATGGAATCATAAATTAATTCAAGGTAAGTATCAAAAGATTCTCCAATTTCTTCATGTGATGCAAAGGAATTTTTAAGTAAATACATATATGGATTAATAAGGCTAAGTGTTAGATAAATTGCATCACAAATTCAACGTGTCATACATTTAAATGGCTCTAATATATTAATCATTTCTTGAAGAAATCTATTAAATTTCATTAAATAAATAATATTTTAATAACAAAATTATATTATTTTATAAATAATTACTATTGATATATTTTTAAATTATATATTTTTCTAATTTATAAAAATATTTTATAAATAAAAATCAACTTACTCTTTTTCATTTAAATTTAAGCATAATCATTCTAATTTTTCACCTTCTCTTTGTGATATTGAATCAGATTTTGAAAGTAATTCAGCAAATATAAATTTCATAGAATTATATAATTCTAAAACTCGTTTCCATGCAAAATATGTAGAATTCTACCTAGTTTTTACATCAGTTAAGATATCAAGTGAATTTGTATGTTCATTATTGAATAAAATATTTGATTGAGAATTTTGTTGTGTTTCTCGAAGTCATTAAGCTTGTTTAGGTAATCAAAAAAAGATTGTAAACTTTTTACTCTTCAGTGAAATGCTTTACATTGTTTTAAACCCTCTAATACTGAAATTTGCAAAGTATGTGTAATACAAGGTTGGCGTTGAATTGAATTAATATAATTTTTACCTAATAAATGAATTGCCTTTATCATGTTTGCTCTATTATCAATTGCTATGGTAAAAGCTGTTGAAGTTAAATGCCATTCATTTAAAATTTGAAATAATTCATAACTTATAACTTCATCAGTATGAAGATAAGAAAGATGATTACATATTAATAAAGCTTCTTGAAATTTAAAATCAGAAGTTAACCAAACTGCAATTATACTAAGATAACCATGTCGAGATTTTGCAGTTTAAAGATTAGTTGTTAAATGTACTGTTATTATAGTACTTTTTAATAGAGAACGAAGTTGATCTATGCTTCATGTATATAATGAATGAAGTATTCCTTTTATAGTTTTATCACAAGGAATCTTAAATTCTAGTTCATATATTAATAGAAGATTGTGAAAAGCATTAATTTGAAGAATATATAGAGACTGAACATATTGGATAATAAACTTTGTAACTTTTCTTGTAATTATTTCTTGTCGTTTAGGTGAACAAGAATTTGAATCACTTATAAAGTTTGTGATTTGAAGCTGATCTCTGCGAGGCTATTTAATAATAATAAATAAAAATTAATTATTCTATTCTTCCTTAAAAAATTATTTTTTATATTATTTAAGCATATCGATTGTCAAAAATTACCTCTTCGTCATCCAAAAATTCCAAATAATTTTCTTTAGTAATATTATGTTTATCATGCAAATGTGTTATAAGATTAGTAGTATTTCCACCTTTTTGGTTATAGTTATATGCAGCTTTATTTGTATCTGCAAAATTCGTTTCACAAATTTTGCAATAAGCAATATTAGGATTTTTTTTTCGATTCAAAAGAAATATGCTGTATGACTGTGATTAGTTCTAATTAAGGATGGATGAGATTCTACTCTTCGTTTTTTTGTACTACTTTTTGTGCTAATGGTATCAGTAATTGTAAGTTCTATAACAGTTTTTGTATCAGAAAGTATAACTGAAAAAGTTGAAGGATTCACCATAATGAGAAACAAAACATGCAAAAAGAAAAAGTGTGCAAAAAAGGATGATTGTATGAGAAAGCCCGTGCGAGAAACTAAATATGGATTTTTTATTAAAACCTTAAACTTTTTTTAGCAAATCGAAAACTGGATTTTCTAACTGGTTGCATTCAGTTTTTATCACAACCAGTTTTACATCATTCTAAAATTTGGAATCAGATTTATTTAAAACTAGTTGGACCTGAATTTAAAACCGAATTGTTACAACCAGTTCTAACCTCTATTTAAAAGTTACTTGAAAGTAACAAAAAAGTGTCTGAAACTGATGAGAAACTGAAACACATGATTAACGCAGTAAGGCGCAGTAAATTTCATTAATTTTGACCAGCACTATTCCATATTTTTTTTTAAAACTTTGAGATGCAATAACTTGGTATCAAAGCACCCAATCTATATGATCTTAGCATAATTAAAAAGCTCTTAACGTTCTCATTCAAACAAGCTTAAAATCGTATAAATCTAATCGCAAATTTTAGCTGGAGCTCTCAGCCAAAAATACATATTTTTTTCTGATCATAACATAATTTTTAGCAATAAATGTCAGCCTAGTATTACACGAAAGAATACATAGATGATGATGATCTAAAGGATGATATCGATTCCTAAAAAATCATATATGTCTTCTATGTCATTTATATCATCTATAGCATATATTTCTTTTATACAATATATTTCTTTTATTTATTTTATCTTATTTATTTCATATATTTATTATATATTATTTATTATATTTATTTCTTTTATATCTTCGATAACTTTATATTTTTCATTTTATATAAATAGAAGACAATTTCCTTTAGCTTAGCAGTGTGTCTGACATATAGTTTTATATAATAGTTTAGTTTAATTCCTCTAATATAATTGTATAGTACAGAGTACCAACTGAGGTAGTATACCATTGTTATAGTTATTAAATAAACTGTTAATTTATTGACACTATTCTAAATCTAAATATCAAATTAAACCTTCTGCTTATCGCCCATAAAAATTGCTTTACTTATTACTTATAAGCATCTTAAAAAACTAATTGTAATACTAGTATCTTGACCACAAAAAGATCACAGAGCAATGAAAACAAGCGAATAGCTAAAAGGAAATAAAAAGAGGATAGAGCAATATAATCAAGCAAATATCTACAAAGCAATAAAAAAAGCTATAGAGCAATAAAATCAAGTGAATAGCAATAAAACAATAGTAAGGTCACAAAACACTAAAAATAGTAACTAGTTAACATTATACTTATAGCTAGATAACATTATATTTATAATTAAATAACATTATAGCAGAATTGAATAATACTCTTATAAACGTATTATCTAATAATATACTGGTGAAATAGACAAGAATAATGAGTTTTTATTTGAAAATGAAAGAATTTCAGAAATATTTAATGATGTTTTAGTTTAGACTAATAATAACAATGCTAGTAATATTAGTAATATAGATTCTAAAGACTCAGAAATGAAAATTTTAAATAATAATAAAACAGTAGACAAAGATGTGATTATAGATCATTTAAAACAAACAAAATTTACATCATATGTTATTATTAATTTTATTGATGACAAGTTTTAGTAGTATGAAAA